ACCTGTGAGAGTGGTTGGCAGAATGTTTGGCACAAGTCGCCAGCGCCTGGTCAACACCTCCCCTGAAGACCCTCGCATGGGGCCCTACTCTGTGGACGGTCTCTCGTGGACCCCTCATGCTGAAGAGACAAAACGGCCCAAGATGGCCCCGAGACGGCCCAAGAGGGCCTCAGGGCGGTCCAAGAGAGCCCCAATATGGCCCCAAGAGGGCCCAGATATGGCCAAGCAGTCCAAGACGGCCGCGATGGCCCCAAGACGGCCTAAGAAGCCCCCGAGGCGCCCCAAGAGCGATCCACGTTGACCCCAAGAGAGGCCCACGAGGTCAAAAGCATCGATTCCCTAGCGGTTCGGTTGATGGAGAAATCATGCACTTTTTTTTGTTTTCGCCCCCCGCGCCTCCAATTTAATATTGGCAGGCTGTGGCGCGACTTGTCGATCTGCAGACCGGCCTAAATCCTGCACCCCTCGGGCGCAGCCAATCAACATTGAATCGGGGGCAGGGGGGCGCGTGGAAGCTTGCGCCGTCGCCCCAATTGCGCGGCTGGTGCATGATTTTGTCCATCAGCCGTTTCACCAGATGTTAGCGCTTTTGCCTTTTCGGGCTTTCGACGCTCCGAGGCATCTCAGGACCCCCCCGAGGCCGCCCAAAGACGGCCCAAGCTTAGGTCGGGCGTGTCCCTCATACAGGCGGATATTCGACGAAAAATCAAACATAGTCAAAAATACGCCCAAATGGTCAAAAGTAATGGAACATCGTCCCTAGACTATTTTTTGACTATTTTTGAATATTCCTCCTGTCGAGGGACAGGCCCGACTTGAGCCCACGCGGCCCCCGAGAGGGTCCAATACGGCAGCCCACACAGGCCCCCCAAGACGGCCCAAGAGAGGCCCCTAAGAGGGCCCCAAGAGACCCCCCAAGCAGGCCCTTCAAGAGGGGCCGAAGATGGGAAAGCGAATGGGGTCTCCTCCCCCAACTCCTCCTCCCCCCCCTCCTCCTCCCTTTCCTCCTCCTCCTCCTCCTCCTCCTCCTCCTCACTTCCCCTTCCTCCTCCTCCTCTTCCTCCTTCTCCTCCTCCTCCTCCTCCTCCTGCCCCAACTGTTGCCCCCTCCCAAAACCCTCAATGTGCCCCCAAGCGGCCCCCGAGAGGCCCCCAAGGCTCCGCCAGGAGGCCCCCAGGAGGCCCCACAGGAGGCCCCGCGACTGCCCCAGACAGGGCCCCGAGGGGGCCCACGCGTCGAGGCACCCCAGGAAGCCTGCCGAGGAGCCCGCGCGCACCCGTCCCGACCCTGGCGATCCGTCGCCTCGTTCTCGTGTCACGCGCACGGGGCGTGAGCGGGCGACTTGCCATCCTGCGCTGCGCCGCTCGGCGAAGGCACCGAACCCAGAGGGGCAGATCGGGAAGGCGGCGGCGGACCGCGCGCAGGGCGGAGCAGGCAGGGGCAGGCAGGGGCCAAGCGCCACGCGACGCCCTTTTGGCCTGTCGGCGGCGGGGCAGAGCTGGCCGCACCGGCGAAGGAGCTACACGGGGGGCACCGAGAAGCGAGTTGGCCAGCGTGCAAGGAGAGGGAACACAAGGGGAGGCGGGCGGCCACGCGGGGGGGGGGGGGGGCAGGAACGAGGCCAGCCCTGCACGACACAGGCGAAGCAGGCGAGCTCGAAAGCCCCCCCCCCCCCCGCGCGCACTCCAACGCAGTCGAGTCCCCTGCGCCTCAGCGATCGCAGCAGGGGCAGACGGCGAGGGGAACAATACAGTTCTTTGCGGGCGCGCCCGGGAACGAACGGAGGCGAACAGAGCGCACGACGCCACAAGCGCTGGTTTCGAAGCGGGGGGACCGCGGTTCCCCGCTGCCGCGCCTTGCGCGGGCGGGGACTCCTCAACGAAAAGACGGGGTCCCTGTCAACCGGGGGGCAAAGGGCGGGGGAGCGGGGATATACGGCTTCCGCCAGGGACTGAAGGTCTCGCGCGGGGATCGACGCCCTGGCGCGGAAAACGAAAGCACTGGGCAAGAGACGTGGCTGTGGCAGCGGGGACCGGGGGTTCTGCGCGTGGGATCGGCGGGCCAATGGAGCGGGAAGAGGACTGGCACAACTGGCACAACTGGCGCAACTGGCACAGCTGGCGCCACTGGCACAGCTGTCACAACGGGATCAGGTGGCAGAACTGGCAGAACTGGTAGAACTGGCAGAGCTGGCACGATTGGCACAGCTGCGCAGCTGGCACAACTGGCACAACTGGCACATTTGGCAGAACTGGCGCAACTGGCACACCAAGTGCACCGACCAGACCAGGCAGAGCAGCAGGTGTGGACTTTCGGCCACCGTGCCCCTTGGTACGTTGAGGCGTGCAAGAATGCCAGGTGCTGTCTGGCAGGGTTTCTGTATTCTTCCTAGGGAACCCCTCTACCTGCGCTTTGCTGCTTGTACCGCTTCTTCTTCCCGAGGCTCCCTGGCCTGCCTCACACCTCCCTGACGCTCTCCGAGGCGTCCAAGATGCCCAAGATGGCTTCCGAGACAGCCAAGGCAGGCGAGAAAGGCCTATGATGATGACGATGGTGATGATGATGATGCGGATGCTGATGCGGATGATGATGATGATGATGCTGATGATGATGATGGTCATGATGATGACGATGATGATGACAATGATGATGGTGCTGCTGCTGATGCTGCTGATGACAGTGATGATGACAAGGATGGCAATGCTGGGGATCATGATGAGGTTGTGCCAATTGTGCAAGCCAGTTGTGCCAGAGTTGTGCCAGTTGTGCAAACATTCTGATGGGAATGATGATAACGATGGTGATGCTGCTGATGATGATGGTAACGATGATGATGATGATGATGATGATGATGGTCATGATGATGGTGATGAGGATGGTAGTGATGATGATGATGATGATGATGATGATGCTGCCGATGCTGCTGATGCTTGATGATGATGATGCTGACGAAAATGATGGTGGCGGTGACGATGATGATGATGGTGATGATGGTGGTGGTGGTGACGATGGTCATGATGGCGATGAGGATGCTGCTGCTGATGATGATGACCATGATGATAATGCTGCTGATGATGCTGAGGATGATGACGATGGTGATGACGATGATGCTGACACTGATGAAGATGCTAATGATGATGATGATGATGCTGCTGATGATGATGATGATGAGGATGCTGAAGATGCTGATGAAGTTGCTGATGATGATGCTGATGAAGATGCTGACGATGATGCTGCTGATGATGCTGATGATGATGCTGATGATGCTGATGCTGCTGCTGATGATGCTGATGGTGATGTTGCTGGTGATGATGACGGCGAGTACGTTGATGATGGTGATTGTGATGATGATGGTGATGACGATGCAGATGATGACGATGACGATGCCAATGCTGATGATGATGATGAGGATGCTGATACTGATGATGATGCTGATGATGATGGTTACGGTGACGAGGATGATGCTGCTGCTGATGATGATACAGATGATGATGATGCTGATGGGAGGATGATGGTGGCGATGTGGAGAGGGTAAGGATTATGAACATGAGCATGGTTGTGGCGCATGCAAGGGGTGAACACCAAGACGCGGATACTGATGCTGCTGATGATGATGATGATGATGCTGCTGGTGATGATGATGATGATGATGATGGTAATAAGGATGATGATGAGGATGTTGATGGCGGTGGTGGTGTTGGTGTTGGCGATGGTGATAATGATGATGATGATGATGATGATGATGATGATGATGATGATGGTAGTGATGATGATGCTGATGAGGATGGCGATGACGATGATGAGGGTGATGCTGATTATGATTATGATGAAAATTATGATAATGATGCTGATGATGCTTACGATGACGATGACGATGACGATGATGATGCTGGTGATGATGATGATGATGATGATGGTGGTGGTGGTGGTGATGATGATGATGATGATGATGATGATGATCATGGTGGTGGTGGTGATGGTGACGAGGATCATGAGGGGGACGAGGACGAGGATTGTGGTGATGAGGAGGAGGACAAGGAGGAGGAGAACGAGGAGGATGAGGAGGAGGAGTGGGAGGAGGAGGAAACCGACGACGACGACAGGAAATCCTGTCACATGTGACACCTTTCGCCTTCACGTCGCAGGGGCCACATGGACTTCTTTTGGTTCGTCTTTGGGCGTCCTGAGCTCCTGAGGGGCAGTCTTGGGTATCCCTTGGGGCCCCCTTGGGCCGTTGGCCCCCTTTGGCCGTCAGGCCGTGGCTCTTTCGGGCCAGCTTGGGGCCCTGTAGGGTCAGTCCTGGGCTGGTGCGGTTGTGGGACTTGCCGCAGGCAAATACATACGTAATGGCGATGGGGGGACAGAGAGGCTGACGATGGGGACGATCATGATGACGATGAGGGCGCAATAGCTTCGACAAGGACGCAGATGGTGGTGATGATGGCGATGATGATGACGACGATGAGGCAAATCCAATGATGAGGGTGAGAATGGCGATCAAGATGATGACGATGATGATGGTGATGCCGCCAACTACGATGACGATGATGCCGGTGATGGCGGCGAGGATGAGGAGGGCGACGGCGAGAACGACGCACTCCGAATCTGCATGCATGCAGGCTTCGAGAGCACTCCGAACCTGCACGCGTGCGGGTTCGGAGGGGGGGCGCGAACGGAGCAACTTAGAACACTTGGCTTGTCATCTACCGTTCGGCAGGCTGGGGATTTCGCGCTCCGCGTGTTCCCAGGAGGTCGCCCGCCATCTCCCCCCTTCTCCTCTCTCCCTCTCTCTCGTTCCCTCCTCGTCGTGAAGGAAAAAGAAGGAAGGAAGGAATCTGATGACGATGATGATGATGAGGAGGAGGAGGAGGAGGAGGAGGAGAAGCAGGAGGAGGATGAGGAGGGGGAGGAGCAGGGAAGGGGCGTGGGGGGGGGCAGAGCGAAGGGGGAAGGGGCTGCCGCCCCACCCTCTGCAAGGGCAGGTCTTTCACACTGCCGACCTGCGAATGTTCATTGCGGCACCCTGCTCGCTCTTTCTCTTGGCCGACTCCTCCTCGGCCTTTTTCTTGTCCTCCTCGGCCTTCTTCTTCCACTCCTCCTGCATCTGGCCCATCATCGTGGCCAGCGCATCCCAGCCGCCTCCCCAATCGCCTCCTCCTTTGCCCCCGCTCTTCCCCTTGCCCTTGCCGCCCTTATCGTCCTTGCCCTTCCCCTTGCCCTTGCTGTCCTTGCCGCCCTTGCTCTTGCCGCTGTCTTTGGAGAAGCCCTTGCCAAAGTCCTTGGAGCCCTTGCTGTCTTTGCCGCCCTTGCCCTTGCTGTCTTTGCCGCCCTTGGGCGGCGACCAGGGTGCCGACCAAGGCTGCTGCTGCTGCGCCTGCTGCGCCGGTTGCGCCTGCTGCGGCGCGGACGCGGGCGCGGACGACGTCGCGCCGATGGTCATCGTCGTGTCGATGGGCCCGTCGCACGGCACATGATACCCCGACTTCGGGGGCGACGGGGTGTCTTTCGGGTGGTATGCCCAGACCTCGGGGGAAGAAAAAGGTACTGACGCCGCTGCTCGCCCTGGAGTGTCCTCGTTGCCACGGCTGGATTCTCTTGGAAGGTCTGGTCAGACTGCGTTCCCCCGAGATGTCCATGTAATATTGGTATCGGTACCTTTTTGTCCCCCCGAAGACCTGGTCGCCTCCCACCTGTGGGCCGAACCACCATCCGCTGAACGAGGCGCCGTCGCGCTGGTCCCAGAAGTAGAGCATCACGTCCAAATTATTCACCTGGGTGTCCTTCTTGTACACTGGCTTGCCGTGGTTCTGGCTCGAGAGCGT